ATTCATTCCAAAAATGAGGTAATAAGTCTCGAATGACATATATTAGAACACATTAGTTTTGTGAACGGAGAATAATCCAGTCAACATACTTTCAAATACTATTAGACATTTATAAATTGTTCTAGAAGGACCCATATAAACTTAAGGAACTCTATGTTCATTCCCAAATGTCCCAGAATTCTATGTTCAATTTACACATCATTCCCATAATCCAACTTCATGTAGGCATATAATATCATATATAATCTATTTTAATCATACATCAATAACTTTTTCAATATAGAAATCATGTCAGTACATTTTATGATAATATCAACTTATAAGGTTGTTAACATATATGCCATGTCAGCAAAATGAAGAAAAACATACTTAGATATTTCACAGAATTCACTATATCAAGGTCATATATAAACTTATGTAGTGCATAATTCAGTGTACACATCAATCATAGTTTTATAACTTTTATGCGTTATGCTCTTCATAGTTAAAAGAACCCTATGCATCACAATATGCATATGACATGTGAATAAGAAAATCATAACTAACATCTTGGATAAATAACATATATTATGTATAAATCACTAAAACAGATTTACTACCCCATATAAATAATCACAAGTATTCAAGAAATAGAGGTTCAAACTTCCTTTTTACAAACTAACCTTTGTATAACCTTGCTTACTGGTATTTTATTGAACCGAGCTTTTCACTTCTGTTATCAAACATGGAGGTATAATAGGTACTATCTGTATCAAGAAAAATAAATGTTACACCTCTAACAAGTATATACATTTCAAGTTTAATAAAAGGCTAAATTCACCAATAATAACTAATCATCCTTATAAACTAATATGGAAATAAATAAGATAAAACTTAGATTATACTCCAAATATTAGAATAATATCCCTAATATGTTCTATGAAGGATAATACATATAACAAAGTCCATAATAAAACACAATGAATCGATGGGATAACAAATTAGCCGAAGTAATAAAACATGCAACTCTACCATTCAACTAGCACATTAGCTTGGAAAACAATGAGTCGTGAAAGTTTTCCATCTCAAACTCACTAGTTCACAAAATCTAACTCACCCAGCCCACATAGCAGTACAAAATTTCGTAATAACAAATTATTATGCAAAGTAGAGGGGCACATAATAATAAATACAGTATATTAGGTAGACAATTAACTAGACAAGTTAGAATTAAAGCCAAACATAACTCTGAGTCGAGGACTTCCCTGATTTTGAGCACGTTTAACACAACATTGTGCCTTCGTTCTCAATTGATGTAGGGTGCCTATAACAAGGATTTTGACGAGTTTGATGACACAATGTCCACCAAAAATCAGCGAGCTAACAAAAGCTTCGGCCGCGAGAATATTACACGCTAGTTGTTGTACAGTACAAGCAGGATCGGAAATACATATTTTCCTCCATAATTGGTGACAGATTCAATATTCAATTGTGACACTACTTCATTGAGATAAATGCAGTCACCATGTTCTTTATTCAAATAAATAAATAAAAATTTCTCAATCCTTAGGATAAATTAATATGAATCCCACCAAAAACAATATCAAAGCAAGTGGGCTTCTTTATTTAATTAATGATTAGTTGACAAAACTAGGGTTTATGGTCGACACTTGGCGCCAGCAAAGATAGATCAATGATGATGCAAATTCTAAAAGCTTTTAAAGATTGTATTAATTGCATAATATGCCGATTTATGTAAACGAGCCCCCATTAGCACGAGATCAAGCCCATCGAGGCTTCGTCAATCATGTGGCCAAAGAAAAAAAAAATTCTTCAGATTGGATTCTAATTTAATCAATGGTTTAGAGTTTTGGTGCTGAAAACGTGTTATAAAATTAAAGAGAAATAGGAGAAATTAGGGAGAATAGATCAGTCTATATTATTCCATAGAGTGGGGATATATATATATATATATATATATATATATATATATATATATATATATATATATATATATATATGTATATATATATATGTATAACTAGGGTTTGCTTAGTTAACAATAAACCCTAGTTCTAGAACATTCCGAAATGATAAAGGAGGATAATGGATATCCATACAATATTTCATAACACTTAGTAGATAATTCATCAAGGAGATGCGGTTAAGGCCTGTCAATAATTTAAATTATTGTAGCGCTTACCCAACCTAGTTGAATGGAGATTCCCAAGATCTAGGTTCGGGACAACCAAGTTATGATAATAGTAAAAGCACAATAAAGTACAAAATTCTAACCCATTCGGCCATTCCTAAGAGCTATACGGTGCCCATACAGAAAAAGGTTACATTTAAGCATAATTATTATTATTATACATATATTTGTCTTATATTTTTAATAATTTCTATTGAGAGGTTTAGAAGTGACCTATGTGATGAGTGTGAGGACAGGCCACTTCTATGAGAATACTCTAAGACACTTGTAGAATCGGGAGTGTCCTTGGCCAAAACGGACATGAATGAACATGAGATCAAACTATTTTAAGGAAATATTTGTGTAATTTCTATTGTCCAAGCTTAAATTTAAAAGGTGGTTGTTAAAGTTGAAAAATACTACTGATTGACTGAGTAAGCTCGATAGACTTCACTTAGGGTAGTTCAAAGTCTTTGACTAATAATCTCAATGAACTTGTTTTTCATTGAGTAACCTCTATTGCATAATATATATCATGCATGATGTTTACATGATGCCTCTTTCTCATTATTGTGGGAATAATTTTTAGCTAGATTTCAATTTTTGTAAATGAGATTCTTCATTAATGTGGGGGATTATTGATGATTTATTCTTAAATAATATTTGTGTTAGTGAAGAATCGAAGAATGTATCTTTCAGATAAAAATATGTAGTTTTGTTGTATTGTCGTGTGATATGTATGATTAATTGGAATTTATATGGGTACTTTAGTTGTTGTAATTGGAATTTATAACCTTTCATAAGTTATTTCCAATGGTTGTATTATTATTTCTGTATACTTGCAACTTTTCATGTAGTATTTCATTTTCTATACATAGTTGTTGTTCCTTTTTTTTTTTTTTGGGTGTTCAGTTTGAATTAATCTCTCTTAAATACATACATATAGTAGCAACTAATCTAATCTAGTTTGTTTGCCGTTTCCTTATAATTAGAATACCATTTTATAAGAAACAGAATTCATTCTATATATCTTCTCAACAACCTTTGGTATTAGAGAGGAAGCAAGTTCAATTTTCTTAAGGACACAATTAATGTGATAATTTGTATGGCTCTGGTAATTATATACGATTACATTTCAAATCATTTATAAGGTATGTGCTATTTTTTCAAAGGAAAAATTGACAAGAATAATCCCAACTTTGCCCCATTCACTCAAAATAATTCCAACTTTCGATTATTTTTTAATAATCCGAACTTTAATATCAATTTGCTTCCAATGGTCCCAAGTGACCTTTAACCTATTCAACAGGTAATTTTTTTTAAAAAAAGTTTAATGTACATGTGTCATTACTTGATTGGTCAAAATGAGTTTAATTTTTAATTTAGTTGCTAATTAAATCTGAACTAATATTATTAACTACCAATTTAAAAAAAATAAAAAAAATGAAAACCAACACCACCTACCAGCGACTAGCACCAGCCACCTCCCCGACCCCTACCCACCGCTCAGCAACCCGTCACCCCAATGCTCCCAGACCCATTCCCCTGCCCCGCCCCCGCCGTCGCCCTGAACCACCATAGGCCCACCACGAAACCCCTTCCCTCCCTTTAAAATCCTTAAAAAAATCCTTCCCCACCACTTAAACTACCCATCGCCCCTCCCATAACACTCGAAACCTCTTTTCGCTAGGTTTCCGAGAATGGGTGAGGTGGAAATTGGGGGTTTTTGCGGCCGGAGAGGTTTTTTCTCAAGGATTCGGGGGTTTTGGAGTGGCGGAAGACGATCAGGAGTAGAGGAAAGGGCGGCGACATTGCCGGACGGTGCGAGGTGGTGGATCTGGCCGTCGGTATTGCGGAGGGAGTGTGGTGCCGGAGGGTGGCTGGAGCTGCTGGAGGTGGTGGTGGTCTTTAGTTAATTAATTGAATTTTATTTTATTTTATAATTTTTTTAAAATTTCTTTTTTTTGACCAATTATGTCAGCTAACTTGTTATAAGAAGTTAAATAATCGGTTGGGACCATTAAAAGCAAATGGATATTAAACTTCGGATTATTAAAAAATAATCAAAAGTTGGGATTATTTTGGGCTAATGAGGTAAAGTTGGGATTATTATTGTCAATTTTTCCTTTTTCATATATAAGATGTATAGTATTTTGCTTTTTATATTCTTTGACGATTATAACCTATTTTTTAGACAGCTAAGTTTATTCTTATACAAACTTTGAAAAGGAGCATAATTTGCTTATTCAACGGGGAGGATTTATAAAAGATTAAAAGATACTCCTATAACATCATTTAATGTATTGCATAAAGATTAAAAGATATAACGTGTTTTAATGTAATTGCATAAAGATTAAAAGATATACTACCTAATGTCTTTTAGGGGTCGTTTGGTTGGGGTTAATAATCAAAGGGAAAGGGACTTAACATGCATCATTCCCTTTTTTGTTGTTTGTTTGTCATTTTTTTTATTCCCTTTACCCATTTTTATTTTTAAGTTTACCCCAAATCCTTCTATCTTGATTCCCCACCCCCCTAGAATTTTCCATTCCCTTTCCTAAGCCACTAACACCCACTTACCCCCACCTCACAGCCACCTCGTCGGATCTCGCCGAAGCTCGCCCAGTCCTCACCGGCAGGTTCTGCACCTTCCCTTCTCCAAATTGGAACCCGTCGCACCTCCCTCAGAAGAATTCTCCCCTCGTCGGAAAAACGTAACTTGTCCACAAAAACCCAACCTCGTCCCCTTAAAATCGTCGGTCGTCGCTGCCCTTACCCTCGAAACCCTAGCGGATAGGGTTTCGAGGGTAAGGGAAGCGACACTCGGCGATTATAAGGGGATGAGGCTGGGTTTCAAGGGTTTTTCGTGGGTGGGGGAAGGTTTCTGGAGGGGAATGGAGGGGCGGCGAGAGGTGGGGAGGGTGCGAAGACGGGCGGTGATGATGGGGGAGGTACTGCAACAAGCGGTGAGGTGGTGGCTGGGCGGTTGAGTGGTTGGAGAAGTGGGAAAGAGCGGTTGTGCAATGGTGGTAGTGATTGCCTTTGATTTTTAAAAACAAACAACATAGTATATGGAAAGGGTTTCATTCCATTCCCTTTGATTCCCTATGTTCATTCCATTCCATTTACCCCGTGTGAACCAAATGGCCCCTTAATGTATTGCATGTATTGCAAATGTCTTAATAGCTTAATTCACTTCTTGCATTAAAGTATGCATAAGTTGTATTTGAGCAATTAACTCAACGTTAATAGAGTTTCATAATAAAACATATTGAAATAAATTAAAGTACGTATCACCAAATATAGGGTTTTTTTTTTTTTTTTTTTTTTTTGAATAGAAATAGAGATAGTAACTTGTGTACACCTTTTCGATGATTGAAATTACAAATTTACAATCATACAAGTAATAATCATACATGTTTTCTTTTATATTTAACACGTGCATGACACACGTTCAAAGGCTCGTATTAACTAAATACAAGAACTTGAACATTCTATAGCAAGCTTCAAGCTTTCGGAGCATTGACCTTCCTACAATTAATTCTAACCTCTCCATCGTTTCCGGTAAGAACACCTATTTGTCCGAACTTTAGTATTGCTGTGGTATATTCCTTGAAAAAGTTATCTTGATTTGCACTATAATTAGCAACAATGGCATCCGCGGGCCCACCCTTTCCGGTGTATAGCTCTTGATCAATGTCAAGAAGACCTTTTTGTTGCATCAAGTTTTTGAAGTATGCATTGTCAAACACGTATGGAGTGGTGCAATCGATTGGTATACGATCGCCATCGTTGCCTTGCCTAGGACAATGTACTTGCGTTGCCTTCGCGAAGCTAGGATCTATGTTTGTTTCCTCGTAGATACGTTTTCGAAAGGTTGTGCACCTTGCCCTACCAATTGTGTGAGAGCCTGTATTTGAGATAAACATTAGCCAAAACGTAATAGTTTATGTCTCTTTCGATATAGTTTTGAGTAAATATCTCACATCACGTCTACATTTTCATAAAAACACACTTTTATTGTTCTATTTATACTTGTAACACACACCTTTTTATATTTTTATATTAATATCGAGTATCACATAGAAGATCGTAAAAAGTTTGATATAAACGACAGATTATTTTAGATAAGGAATTTCCCCAAGTGAATAAAAGAAAAAAAAAACCTGTTAAAGCCACAAATTCTTCAGTTGAGAAGCCTTTTAGTTTAAAGGCAAGAATCAGTGTTTCTAAATTCCCAATAAAGAGAGCACCTAAGAGGTTAGTCATAAATCTATGTGGTTCAAGCGAATCTTTCCTTCCTAACGGTACTGTCCAAGTTGGTCCACCAAGCTGGAAAATTCATTATCAATTCAAAAAATTTACTGAATCAAGGAGAAAATTCAATAAAATAACTTAACTTTGGAAATAAAGAAGTTATAAGGTAACAATACCCCAACAATTGAGTCTCGAGCAGCCACGGTTAAGATATCAGCACATGATACAATACCTGGGCATTCTTTTTCTACCCGGGCCTTAATCTGGTCAATGGCTTCGTATCCCCATGTTGAATTTTGATTAAGTGCGGCAGATTTCTCCCCAGCCACACTTGGTGTATCATCGAGCAAAATTGATGCATCACATCCCTAATTATACAACAAGTTAACACTGCAATCATTTAGTTGACTAACAAAAATAATAACTTCAAAATTAAAGTAGTTTTATACTCTCTATAATGGTAACATTTGGTTTTGTATGGTTTCCTCACAAAAAAAAAAAAAAAAAAAAGGGGACCATTATATCACCTATTATTTCGTGAAAAATTCATGGTGTAAGAAATTAAAATTTCATATTCTAAATCAGGTGTAATCGACTCTAAGTGGATCATTCAACTCGAAATACTTGATCTTGATTACATGACTTTAACACAATTTGAAATCACTTGACCCATTCAATATTAACTGAACCTTAACAAAACCATATGTTTAATAATAACACTTTTATCAAATTTAGAATATTGTCAACTGAATATAAAGCGACCCAACCCAAAATAAAACCTGAATCAACCTAAACTCGAATTAACAAGATCTGAACCCGGCCCTATACAAACAAGCAATGGATCGATCACCATTTCTACATTTTCCCTCCCTCGAATGTGTTTGTGGGGAGGAGAATGTGGAAGGATGTATAATTACATCTGAATGTATCATAGACATCATATCCTCATTGATTTTTTATAAGAATAATGAGGATCTTGACATCATAAGCACACTAACTTATGCATGGAGAGATCAATTAAGTGTTCCTTGTTTAACCTAGAACCACTATTAAGATCCTTATATAAGACTTATTGTATGCACAAGCTACGTATATATATAACCAAATTAAGATCTTAGACTTACACTAACTCCGCAATCATGGAAATGAAGATGTACAAGAGATCCACCCATGCCAGGTTCTTTCCTTAAGATGTTTGTCATTTCATCTTTAATAATAGAGTTAACCTGTGGACATGTTAATGCATAGTAGTCTTCAGACAATTGTGCGAATGCCGACCGGAAAAGTACAAAGATCAAGCACCATTGAAGCAACGAGGAGAATGCCATGGAAGAAATTAAAGTAGACTAAAGGATAAACATAAAATATAAGGATATTAAAACAATATAAGGTCTTCAAGTTACTATCTCAAAAAAATAATTATGTAATAAGTTGTTCTATTTTTGCTTCTTCTTTTATAATGTTTGAAATATTATTTACACGTCCTAGTTTCAATGGTTATGCTTGTAAAGTGCAATTCAAATGTCTTTTTTTAGCATATATCCGATTAAGAAAGGTATTTCCCTAATGAATTGCTTAGGATAATCTGGCTATTTTCCTTCTCCTTAACAATGGTTATCATTTAAATTCAAAATTAACCAATTTAAGATTTTCTTTACATATTATTCTAGATATATATGAATATGATAGTTAGTTAGGCCTGTTATTTCCTACTTTGTAGTAATCTGATCTCTTTCTTCCCTCATTTTAATTACTTCTACCCTAAAAAAAGCAATCTCTTCCTTAGTTTTAAGTTTCAGTTTGACGTTTACTTTTGCCATTGTTTACAAGAATTACTACAACCTTACTTTGACAAATTAATTATCATACTTCGTCAACTTTTACAATATATATACTTTTTTTTTCTTTGACACAAATTAAACTTTTACAATATTATATACCCTGTCTTTGACAAAATATCTGGTGCCAAGTTTCATTTATGATAATTTTTGCTCCCGACAAATAAGTTTGTGTGTTATACTCCCTCCAGGTGTCAAGTTTCATTTACAATATTTTTTGCTTCCAATAAATAAGTTTGTGTTGTTATACTCCCTCCGTCGTCCCAGACACCCAGAATACATGAGACGTTGGATATTTTTGCACTATTCATGTATTAGCTTTGACCATAATTTTTACTAACATAATGATGCGGTTCCAAGGCATCAATATTGTTATTATAATTATTTTTATTGTTATTTTTAGTTTATTATTAGATGACCGAATTTATTAGGATATTTTTGTTAGTTTAATTCGGTTAGTATAAGATAAGCTTAACTTTAAAGATCATATTTGCAAAATATTATCTTTACAAGTTAGAGTTAGTTTCCTAGTTAGATTAGAATTTATTTTATCGATTTTTAGGCTATTTATTTAGCTTATAAATACGTGATGGTGTTTAACGAAAAGTATGATTGATTGATTTGAAATTTATAAAGTTTTACGTAAGCTTGTGCTTGTGTATTCTTGGCCTAGTTTAGGTTTTAAGCTCGTGTTGCTTAGCGTTTCTTGACCGAGACTCAAGATTCCAAACCTTTCAACTGCGATTGAAGGTTATATCCATCAAAAATTCATATCAAATTGGTGTGACTGCTGTTTGACGAGGGACGAGTTTGACAATTTGTGTCAAAAAACTCAGTTTCGAATGTCATATTGATCGACTTGGTTCTCCTTCGTTTCTAAAGATTTTGAGTTGATTCTTATTTTTAAATTGGTTAATTTTTTTGTCTAGTTTTCACCTGCAAGATTTGAGAACTTTTCGAGAAGCATAGCTATTAAACTGGGTTCGTTCTTTACACCTGGTCAAAAATCAAATTAATCTGCCATTGGTGAGAAAAAAATAAACTGCGATTACTTGGCTGGGAATTTTTTGCTGAATTTTCGTTCGAGTCTTATAGACATATAGGGATAGCAGTATACAAAATTTCAGAATTTTTCGAGGGGTCTTCATTGGGTTTTGGTCCTCGTACTTTCGATCAATTTCTGGACTGGTTTTGTGTGTTTTCTCATCGACATAAACATGGAAAATAAAAGTTGGTTTGAAGCATTTATGATGGAAATCAAGAAAATGAATGAATGTTTGGATAGAATTGATGCTCGTTTTCAAATTCGTGACGTGAGATGTGGTGTACAAGATATGTCTTATGAGAAAGAGACACTAGAGCAACCAATTGTTGAGGCTATATACGAGGAAAAGATTGTATCTTTACCAAGTGATAATCTTACAAATCCAATTTTAGAGCAATCTCATGAACAACTAGTAGAAGAAAAAGAAATTATGGAGCACAAAAGTGTATATTTGTCTAGTTTTGTTGACGAGGAGGTTACATTTGAACTATCTAAGTTGGTAGCAAAAAGTCAAATTTCTACAACTTCCTTTTATGGTGATAATTGGGATACAAATATTTTCACGTATTATTTCCATTATATTGATTGCATTGACAAAGGTGTGTCATCAATTAAAATTTTGGAGCATTCAATTGAAGTTTGTGGTGCATTCATTGGTGTAAAATATAAGCATGACGTGGTTGGATGGAGACTTATTCTTTTAGCTCATGTTCGATTAATTTGGATGATATCTTGGTTCCATGATTTGCTAAAACTTGGGACAAGTTTTTTTCAAGAGGGGGAGTATGATGCGGTTCCAAGGCATTAATATTGTTATTATAATTATTTTTATTGTTATTTTTAGTTTATTATTAGATGACCGAATTTATTAGGATATTTTTATTAGTTTAATTCGGTTAGTATAAGATAAGCTTAACTTTAAAGATCATATTTGCAAAATATTATCTTTACAAGTTAGAGTTAGTTTCCTAGTTAGATTAGAATTTGTTTTACCGATTTTTAGGCTATTTATTTAGCTTATAAATACGTGATGGTGTTTAACGAAAAGTATGATTGATTGATTTGAAATTTATAAAGTTTTACGTAAGCTTGTGCTTGTGTATTCTTGGCCTAGTTTAGGTTTTAAGCTCGTGTTGCTTAGCGTTTCTTGACCGAGACTCAAGATTCCAAACCTTTCAACTGCGATTGAAGGTTATATCCATCAAAATTCATATCAAATTGGTGTGGCTGCTGGGATTTGATATGAATTTTGATGGATATAACCTTCAATCGCAGTTGAAAGGTTTGGAATCTTGAGTCTCGGTCAAGAAACGCTAAGCAACACGAGCTTAAAACCTAAACTAGGCCAAGAATACACAAGCACAAGCTTACGTAAAACTTTATAAATTTCAAATCAATCAATCATACTTTTCGTTAAACACCATCACGTATTTATAAGCTAAATAATTAGCCTAAAAATCGGTAAAACAAATTCTAATCTAACTAGGAAACTAATCTAACTTGTAAAGATAATATTTTGCAAATATGATCTTTAAAGATAAGCTTATCTTATACTAACCGAATTAAACTAACAAAAATATCCTAATAAATTCGGTCATCTAATAATAAACTAAAAATAACAATAAAAATAATTATAATAACAATATTGATGCCTTGGAACCGCATCACATAATAAAAAAAAAAACATATTTTATCATAAAATATGTTGTTACATAGGAATTAATAAAAAAAGTTTCATAATATTAATAATTTTTATTAATATTTAATTATATAAAAATAAAGTCAAACTAGTGCATTGGCATGCATGTGTGCAATGTTGACTGTGTTACGTATTGTGGGACAGAGGGAGTAGCTATTAGTCAAAGTTCATGCTACTACATGCGTCTTGTTAAAAGTTTGTACTATTGAGTTCAATTTTGCCATATATCTATGGACTTTTTTGTGAGAAACTATCTAATTAATAAAGCCTAAATTTTGTGAGAAACTATCTAATTAAAAAAAAGTTATAAGAAACTACCATAAAAGGTAAAATGTTGTAAGATTCTACTTTTGACCGAATTTCCATCGTCGACTTAATTTAACGACGTTAATCCACCCCGGAAACAACCGTGAAGGTTGGTTTTCAAGGTGGTAAGGTTGTTTTCGGGGCGGTTGGAGGATATTTCGAATTGGTAATTAAGGGTAAATTAGTGCTTCGGATATTGGTTTTTGGGGGTAGAGGTGGTCATTTGGGGGTTGAAGGGTGGTTTAGGACTGGTGGAGGCGATTTCAAGCAAGTTGTATTAGTTTTGGGAATGAAAGTGGTGGTTTCAAGAGTATCTTAAGGCCCGTCAATAGTGGAAATCTGGTATAGGTAGTATTTTACAATATTTTACCTTTTTAAAGGTAGTTTTTTTTTACAACGTTTTATCTTTATTAGGTAGTTTATTACAACATTTTTTATTAGGTAGTTTATCACAAAATATGGGTTTTATTAGGTAAATTTTGACAAAATGTCCCTCTATTATATAAGTTTAGAGGGGAAGTAAAAAGTATTGGTATTCTATTGAAGGTCTAAAATACCCTTCTTTGCCTTTTATTGGCAAAGTACAATTCATGCAATAAAAAATTAATACATGATAGATAAAACTTGATGATATTTTTATGAATTTAAACATTGGCAATTAGTTAATTGACTTGAAAAAACAATTTAGGTAAATACAAAAATTAATTTAGGACTCGACTTCGGAATTGGTTTGAACTTTCCTCTATTTTCATTCACTTAAGGCCTCCATGACCCTATATGTGACTAACTAATAATTCTTACAATATTATATGATTTTGGGATCCATCCCTTATATACCAGTGAATTTTCATCATCAAATCTTGAAAACACTATAATGGCCATTTTCATTGATTATAGATTTTAGTTTGGTATATAAACTTTTCAAACCTGGAAAAAAAAACACCAATTTGGGTTGCCTCCTATGCAAAACCCCCCAGGACACTTTGATTCGGGAGACCAATTGGATGGTTGCAACCCGCTTCGTCTTTAAATTATTTATTTAACCATTTAAAACTTACGCTATTTCATTAAATCAAGGCTATCATTGACTTTTATGTGACCGGCTAATAGTCATAAATTATTCCAAACAACATTAACTGTATCACCCTAAAGGTTTCGACATCACGTTAAGAAACCTATAAATTTATCTAATCTCACAGATCATTTAATATTGAAAAAATAATTTAAATGTTTTAGACTCAAAAAGTAAATAGGTGGTGGTACTTTTTTTTGTAAGTGTTTTAGACTCAAAAAGTAAATAGGTGGTGGTACTTTGTTCCCATGAATCCTTATACACCTTGTTTGGACACATTAGGTGGTTGAAATCATCCACTTTATCATTATATCGTCAATTTAACGATTTACTACTTATGCTTGTTTAACGTAATGTGTCATATATATATATATATATATATATATATATATATATATATGTATATGTATATATATGTATATATATGTATATATATGTATATATATTATATATATGTAT